GGTGAATGATCTGAAAATATCAAGTCTAAAAAGCCAACTGTGGTATGACAAGGATGGAATTCTGTTCAAGGTTTATTTAAATGGAAACACAGCCAGTTTTGAGTCTGCCACTTTATCTATAATCATGTTGGCTAAGAAGATGGTCTTCTTAATTCACATTAATTTTGTTATCCACTTACTATTGCAAATTATTCACAATGCCATGCTCAGTAAGGATTAATGATCTTAAAACTGAAATTCATATTTTTTTCAAACAGATAAGCAACATTTACATATTGTTGAATAATGTGTATTGAAATCGGACATCTTTCTTATCTATCAGTGAATTGGCCAATTTGGATTTGTGCTCCCTCTAAAGTAGAGGTGGGTTGAAACTGTGAATATGTAATTGTCAAAATTAATCATCCTATTAGAATTGTCTTACCAGAAATATTAGTCTACTATCTCCACATATATGTTATATTCGGCAATTCTGATTTACTTGCTTCTGTGAAAATTACAGAACATGATGTATTTAAATATTTAATACAGCATTTGGTGAGTAGGTCACACATAGTGTTTTATGTTATAATTTGTATGTTCTATTGGTCGTGTTTGTCCATGTAATCCTTGACCCAGTGAAATAAATTTCTTCATTGTTTGGAGCAAAATAAGTGTTTTAAAGGCCCAGTGATCATTGTCTCTACACTGCTTGTGCTTCCACTGTTCTCCAAATTGGACTTCATTATTTACAAGAAATATTTTGTCCTGCCGTTTAAAATGAAATACTCCTTTATTAATACTTTCTCGTTGTCCATGAGTATAGGTTTTAACTCCAAATGTACCTGATATTACTGTTGTTACACCTGATGATGATCACCTGCGCCATGTCATTGATACAATGGCTCTCTATGTTCTTGATGGAGGTTGTGCCTTTGAGCAAGCCATAATGGAGCGAGGTCGTGGAAATCCGCTCTTCAGCTTCTTGTTTGAGCTTGGCTCCAAAGAGCATACTTACTATGTTTGGAGGCTTTATTCATTTGCTCAGGTAAATCTCTCTCTAGCCTTAAAATGTTGATGTGGTCTCTTTGTAGTGCATGCATCCCTAAATCCTCTTCATAGACAGACGACTGAGAGTGACCTTTTGACCCATGTGAAGCTTGCAAGGCTTTTCATCCATCTCAAAATTTCTGTAGCCCTTTTTTGTATCTCTCATGGAAAGAAAAGAAACAACTAAAAATATTTGACTCTTGTGTGCAGGGAGATACTCTTCAACGATGGCGCACTGAACCTTTCATTATGATAACTGGTAGTGGCAGGTATTTGAGTTATTTTTACTTATTTTCTATGAATATTTTTATGTTAACCCTGGTCATGATTTTGATGTTGCACCTCAATACACACCCTCTCTTGGAGGATGATAAGTTAGAAAAGTCACTTCATAGTATAAAAAAAAATTAAAATTATTTTGTTTGATACCTTGTATGTACAGGTGGATACCACCCTCTCTGCCATCAGCAAAAGCGACTGACCATGAGAAGGAAGGTGGAAGCACATATGCTGCTGGAAGAAGCCGGGTATATTTCTTTTCCATGTGATGGAATGCATTGCTCTAATTACAATGTCTCTTTCAAATTAATATTTGCTATTAATGCCCACAGCGTGTGGAGGTGGAACGTACACTGACAGATGCACAGAGAGATGAGTTTGAGGATATGCTTCGTGCATTGACACTAGAAAGAAGCCAGATAAAAGATGCAATGGGTTTTGCATTAGATAACGCTGATGCTGCCGGAGAGGTAATTATAAGATAGTGAGATTTGATTTTGTTGTTTGAATTAATAATGAAGATGAACTGTCTACTGTCTCCATGAAGGTTTTAATTAAATATCTGTTTTCTTTTGAAGTCCATTAGCAAATTCGCAGAGCATGTGAATGTTCATGATGATTGGGCTGCAATAATCATCATAATTTTATTTAATTGGTGTGGTTGCTTCTCAGGTGGTCGAGGTTTTAACGGAGTCTCTGACACTTAAAGAAACTCTACCACCACCTAAAATTGCACGGTTAATGCTGGTCTCTGACATTCTTCATAATAGTAGTGCTCCTGTGAAAAATGCATCTGCTTACCGCACCAAATTTGAAGCAACTTTACCAGATGTAATTGAAAGCTTCAATGACTTGTATCGGAGTATTACAGGTCGAATGACAGCTGAGGCCCTTAAGGTAAACCCTAAGCGGTACATTAAACGGCTTGCCAGGCTGCTTCCCAATTACATTTCCCCCCACCCCAATTCCCTTCACAACTTGATATTAATTTTACTTGAAATTGTGCAGGAGAGGGTTCTGAAAGTTCTTCAAGTATGGGCTGACTGGTTTTTGTTTTCGGATGCTTATGTCAATGGCTTGCGGGCAACCTTTCTTCGATCAGGCAATTCTGGTGTAATCCCCTTTCATTCTCTATGCGGAGATGCTCCTGAGTTAGAACCGAAAGGCGGCTCCATGGACACGGTTGATGGTGATAAAGTTAATCCGGATGCTGCATTGGCTATTGGGAAAGGAGCTGCCATGAAGGAGCTTTTGAATCTCCCTCTTCCAGAGCTAGAAAGGCGGTGCAGGCATAATGGTTTGTCTCTTGTAGGCGGTAGAGAGATGATGGTTGCTCGATTACTTTATCTTGAAGAGGCAGAAAAACAGAGAGGCTATGAACTAGATGATGAATTGAAACATGGGAGCCACTCAAGTTCTGGAAAACATTCTAATAGCCGGAAAGAGACTAGTGAAGTAGATCAATTGGGCTTGTCAGGTTGGAATAGTTATGCGGATGAAAGCATACAACAAAAACGCAATGAATCTCTGCAGTCACCCCCGAGAACTCAAACTACGCAGCCTGAATCAATTGCTTTGTCAAATGAGGTAAAAAATGATCCTATTTTGCCATCCTCAAAATGGGCTAGAGAGGATGATGAAAGTGATGGTGAAGAGAAAAAGAGCAACAGGGATTTGGGGTTGACATACTCATCCTCTGGGAGTGAGAATGCTGGTGATGGTACCGGTAAGACTGATGAGGCAGAGCTTACAACTGAAGCAAGCAACATATCACATCTTGAAACTGGAATAAATGAAGAACAGAGGTAAAAATATTTTTCAGCAAATTAGGTCAATGGTCTCATTCCCCCCACCCCCTGGGTGATATTGTTGGCGTTTAGTTTCATGTTATGCTGTTGTTGTCTTCATGATTTCCATTTTCTTTTGCTAATTCCATACCTCTTTACACTGTTGTGACCACCTCCACCACACTTGGAAGATTTTTTTCATGATTTCCACACTTGTATTTCAGATGTGGATCCATGAATTTCTGGTTGATGTAATTATAACTGTTTTATAATGTTATACATTTGGGAATTTCTGGTTGATGTAATTATAACTGTTTTATAATGTTATACATTTGGATTATTATGATAAGGACTAATCATTTTCAGACAAAAGCTGAGGCGTCTTGAGGTTGCTTTAATTGAATATCGAGAATCTCTTGAAGAGCGAGGGATAAAAAATACTGAAGAAATTGAGAAGAAAGTTGAAATCCATAGACGACGTCTACAATCTGAATATGGTTTACTGAACTTCAATGAAGATGCTTCAAGGAAATGTGAGTCTAAATTCATCCCAAGTAGAGGATGTGATTTATTATATTATTCTGTTAGTATTATTCAGTGATTGTAGCTAATATTAATTTATTTGTTTAACAGCGATCAAGTCATCCTTGGAGAGAAGAGAGAGAAGAAACGAGCCTCAGGAAGCATCAAGGAAGCGTCACAGGAGTCGAAGCAGGAGTGAGAGCCCACCGCGGAAATCTTCCAGCAGAGACAGGGATAGGGAAAGTGATTTGAACAGAGACCGAGAACGGCGCCGCGAGAGGGAAAGAGGTCATGATGTAGAAAGCGATAAGCAAAGGGACAGGAAAAGCAGAAGCAGGGAGAGGGACGACCACGATAGAGACAGGGCCAGGGAGAGAGAACGAGAAAGGAGGAGAGTAAGATAAAGATGATATCAGTGACAAGAACAGAATCACATCAAATCGTCCCTGTTCTGGCTAGCAACAGTTGGTGCACCAACATTGACAACACGCCTTTGTACTTGGGGGTCACTACAATTTCACAATGAGCTATGGCCGTCTCGAGGTGAGTGCATAACGGGGTCCTGCATGGTATAATGAACATATTGGCTCCTTTTCATACAAGTCCAATGAGAGGCAGAACATGTTTAAGCATCGAATGTAGTTTGTTATTATGTACTTGATTATAAGAATGTGGAGTTTATGCTCGAAGTATGTCTGTCTTTTGATTTTGTTGTGTCAGACTCTTGTTAACTGATACTTTTTGCCTTTTGTGAATCTAATTTTTAGACAGACTTGTGTACTCCAGTCTCCATGTCGTCTGTCCTTAAATGTATAACGTGGTAGGCTTTTTGTTTTAATGCCCAATGAGGAATGCTAAATGTGTAGTCTTTTGGGATTTTTGAATTTAGTTCCTCTACTTATGGAGAGATGAATAAAATGCTTTTTTTGTAGTATTTGTTTTTTATTTTTTCTTTGTGGTGTAAACCACGAGGTGGTTCAAGTTTTTCTCTGTCCGTCAGGTCTACTCAACTAATTTTCGTTCACTCCGGGAGGCACGAGAGTTGGTCCAAGGGAAATTGTCACTTGTAAGAATCAAACCTGGGTTATCTCACAAAGAGAGCTCATTTGTCACTACCCTGTGTTTTTGTAGTATTTGTTATGCTAACAAGAAATTATACTATTTAAAAAAAAAAAATTAATGAATTAAGTTTTGATTTTTCAATTGCTTCAGTTAGAAAAATGAAAAACCAACTGAATTAATGGGAAAAAAAAAAAAAAGAATCTTAGCAAAATACAATCAATAACCTACTGCAAAGCTAAAACCAAAATTTTACTGCTCAGCTCTACTCAGTAACTAGTTTTCAGTAAAACCAACCAAATGCTGCTTCACTCACCCTACATATAATATAATGTAATGTAAAAAAAATTACCCCCAAAAGCTGCTGCATTAGGTACACTGCCTCAATCCCTAAAAATTGAATGTAAATGTACTCTGTATGTATAATCTTTATAAACATGAACATATAAGATTAATTTTCCAGAAGCTAGCCATAGGTCCAATGCCCATATGTACAGATGCCAGGATAGCTGAAAAAACCATCTTAAGCCGCAGGTGATCATCTACTGATCTACAAAAGTACAAAACTGAAGAATACCCCCCTGCGTGATTCATCATAAAAAACACACTGGAGCGGAGGAATGGGGGGTATCAAAAACTAACTGGATAAACAGGTTACGCCATGAAAGAATGGTTGGCTTTTAACCAACAGCAAAGAAATTCTTTTGCCGGATCAGTGTGAAAGGTTAGTTTTGGATGTACCATTAAATGTTGGGGGAGTTGAAGTCAGTCGGTCATTCTTCTTTCCACTTGTTAACATACTTCAAGAACGCAAGAGCAGGATTTTCCCCCGGTGGGGCACGGACTCGAGTTGACCTCCGACGCACAGATTCTTCTGTTGCACTTTCCTGAGTCGCATCCTTCAACCTCTTCTGAATTTCCAAGCTGTCGATGTTTATTCAACCATAATTATTTAAAGTTGGATATAAGAGATAAAACCACGAAAAGCAAACAAAGAAAAGGCAAAGATTCAAGAAAAGAAATTTCAGTAAATCAATATACAGCATGGAAGAGCCCATAATAGACACCCATATTGACTTAGAACTTACATTATTTTGTCATAAAACTTTTCCAGTTGTTTTTTGAGAGCCCTCTCTCTTACACCCTTCATATTGAGTGAACCCAACAAAGCATCAACCTGTTGAAAGAAACAAGTCAGAGAATCATTAAAGCATTAGAGAAAACCAAAATACTGCATGTCACAACATAAATACCTCCTCCTTTGAAGAATAATAGCCCCACTCCATGGAGTCGGAACTCTCAACAAATATTTTTGCTTCACGTCTGAAAAACCAGTATCTATTATGATCTCTATCTTTCCCCAGAGGACTGGTGCGTATAACTCTCTTTTCTATTTCTCGATCAAGATATTCTTTCTGTAATTGGAAAACAGATAAGCAACACCCAGTTTAATGATAAGGCCACAAATTTGTGAGACACCGATATGCATGAATGTTCTTGTGAGTATACATATGCACGTGTAACAAACAAACAAAGAGGGAGGGGGAATAGATTTTGAGAGAGAGAGAGAGAGCCCACCCTTTGTTCCTTACTCCTCTTTTCTATTGTTTCCTTTATTTGATTCTTCCTTAGCTTGTGAGCTGCCCTTTGCTTTTGGTCCTTAGTCTTGTTTTGCATAAGTTCCATCATTCCATTCTTGAGAGCAACCTTCTTTGATGAATTGCAAATGTTCTCAGCAGCATCTTTCTCGTTTACCATTTCTGCCTCCCCGTCACTGTTCAAAATGAATGGCAAAATGTAAGGAATAAAGAAAGAGGGAGGGGGGATGTTATGAATTGAAAAAATATTAAATATTAGAGATATAACCTGTCATCTGATGAATGCTTCAAACAAGAGGCCCACTTTTCCTTCCCTTCATTTGAAACATGTCCATTCTCTCTAATATGGTTGGAGTTCATTGAGTCGATATGCCTGTCTCTTGATACTTTTTCAACAGATTGAGTCTTAGAACGCTCTTTCTCTTCTCTCCTCTTTCTACCTTCTTCCAAAGCTTCATCCCTCCTTGCTGCTGACAGTGCCTGCCTCTTCTCAATATCCTCATCCAGTTTCTCCTTGAAAAGGTCCGACATGAAGGCTTGAGCAACCAGTTCCCCAAAGATTTTTAATTTAATGTCAACATCTAGAAGACCATAGTGACCACGTCTGATTGTAGAGATATGAGCAGACAATTCGGCAATACCGATCATTTCCAAGAAATCACACAAATACTCTGCCCAAGTAACTAATGTAATCTGGAAAGTGGGGGAAAAAATGCTGGCATAAGAATTCTAGACTATACTACAGGGAGGGGTATTAGGGTCAGTCCCTAACCCCCGCAACCCTCAAACGCACCAAATATTTAAAAAAAAAAAAAAAACAAAACAAAACAAAACAAAAACACACACACACACACAAGAGTCAGATACAATATGTGGCCCCACAGTTTGGGTGCAAGCAAGCCAAGATAAAGCATCAAAGGCTCAAACTATCTCAACTCTAGAAACACCAGACTTGATATCTGTCAGGCAAAAAACATGGGTTTTGAGCTGAACTCACACATTACTTGTGCATGGTCAAGCTCAATACTTGAGATGAGTCAAGCACAAACAGTAGCACAGAGCACTCTACACTGAATAATCCAATGCAAAAGTAAATGATCCATTTAAAAGGAAGCTTAAAATGCTTAATATTAACCTTGGTCTTTCTCTTTTTCTTTTTTATAGTGAAGAAATAGCGCACATTGTCTTTCATCAACAGACGAAGAAGGGCTGAGTGAGCTTCCATGATGAGAATGACATTGCTGTCACTATGGCACACAGCATTCTCAAAATCTTCAAGGGAAAATGGTGACAACTGCAATAACCTGCCAAATGATGTACAAAAATCCCAAACCATCAAAAGATCCCCAACACAATGCATTGGGGCATTGAAATCCCGAGAAGGAGAAGGACGCGCAGTTAACTGTTTGTCACTTTCCGAAGGTTGCACCAGTAGATCATCAATTGGATATCTAATGGCATTCACCTCCAAGTTTCCATTTTCTGAAAGAAACATTATAAGTAGAGAAAAAAAAGATAATTAGATGGTGGAGATAACGCAAACAACAATATAGTTGATAAACACCAAGCAAGCAGATAACAACTAGAAAAAGTAAAGCATTAGATGATGAAGATTATGATCGTGGGAACTCTAAGCAGAATAGAAGATAAACAAATTGAATCTCACCTTCATAAACACTCTTCCCATTATTTAAGGGCTCGTGACTTTTTCGGCTACAATTCTTCCGCTTAGGATCTAGCAACTCGTTCTCTTCTACATCCTAAAGGACAAGAACATCATGTTGCTTATAGTAAGAGGAGAAGGAACACCACCACCCCCCCCCCCCCCCCCCCCCCCTTCCCCAACAAAAAAAAAAAAAAAAAAAAAAAGAGGAAACACTTATAATTACCATATCAGTTCTCTTTCTCTTCTTATTAACAACAACTATTCCATCCTTAAGAGAAATTTCGCTTTCTAATTCTGGGGGAGGGTGAGTAGGAATCCCATGCTCCTTTGCCAACTTATCATGCAAGACCCAAGGAATGCTGCGGTATGTAGATTCTCTGATTAAAAGCTTCAGAACACCTCTACTATAAGGCAGCTTCTTCCTTATCAGATCTTCTTCATTTACTAATGTACATTCAGATAGGTTATCATATTTGTCCATCCATTCAACCTCATACTGAGTTTTCTCATCCTCTTCTACAATTCTTACAATCCTGCAAGTATATATACAGCTGTTTTTCCTCCCATACAGATTGGTATCCACTGACAAACGGCCATGGAGCTTTACAGCAATTGCATTGACAAGATCATTTAAACTGAGCATACCTGCAAACAAGGCAGGCATTGCAAGATCATCATAAAATATTATCCTAGAAATAACATTAGCATAACTGCATGTATCATAGTGTAGGAGTCAGAGCCAAACAAGAGATATCAATAGTCTAAGTAGCTAGAAAACATAAGAAACTGAATATGAAGTAAGAAACTAAAAGGGGAAGAAGTTTAAAAATCATGCCCTCCACTTTGGGTTGAAGTAAAACCAGTACCATTCAGGTCCATTAATGCATCCAGCATGCAATTGGGGAGTGTGTTTATGAAGGTACCAAGGAACAGGAGCTAAACTGCATGTATTGGTCTAGGAGTGAGAGTGCCAACAAGAGATATCAACTCTAAAAGTACCAGGGAACCATATGAAACTAAAAGCGAAACATGAAGATGAATGGGGAGGATATGATAAACCCATACCCTCCTTGTATTGAGGTAAAACCAATAATTCAATAACATTCAGGTCCATTAATGCATACAGCACCCAATTGCCTTAGTATCAAATAGAGCAATTGGGCTTATATTAATAGAACATGTCAATGAAAAGAGTTGATTGCTTGTGACTTGAATTAATAAACATAATGATGGTTGTAAATGCTTAAATATGGCCAAAATCTTATCTTTGCATAGCCAAAAAGGGAGGTGTGGTGACTGAAAATAGAAATAAATGACTCTGTTGAATAATAGGAAACCCTAGTCCTATTCCTGGAATCCTGGAAGAAGTAGGCTTAGTTTCCTATTCTGAGTAAGGGTAGGTTTAGCTTTCAATCCCTCAATTTCAACAATGCCAGGTGGCTTTGGAAGACATGGCACTACGCATGACCCTTGGAATGAGGGATTGAAAGCCATGCCATGACAGAAGAAACAGTAAGACTGAAGTTCACTAGTGACTTCCATGTAGGTTCACTTCATCAATCCAAGATACTTTACTATGTGATGGATTTTGAACTTCAGAAATAATGTGCTCCCTTCAATATCAGAAATAACAATCAAGTTGCCATCTTTACTTATAAACACGAAGTTCATCCACTAAATCAAATAATATACATTCTAAGATACACAAACAATTTCTTAACAAGATTGTAAAACACCCAGAGACATCATTCTAAGACAAATTTTTTTTTAAAGGTTGTAATATAGAACTTCCTCATCAAGCATCATCAAAATGGAAAAGTGAAATTATAACCAAACAAGGTAGGGAAATTACTGAATTGAACATCTCGGAGCACCGGGGCAAGAAGTTCCTTTGGGAACAGTTGCACCTCTTCACCAGCCTCCTTCTCTGAAAGGAGCGCCTCCTCATAGGTCAAGTAATTCTTCCCAGACAATTTGCACGACCATATCCTTTGCCGGTACAGATTCATTCGCTTCAAATAATCACTGCATTTGAAAAAATTTAAACAAAAATCCAATTCACTTTCTAACAAATAACTAGAGATAAAAATAAAATATCAGTAATCAACAAAACCAGAACTTTTAGGGTTTACCCATAATCCCTGAAGATCTCTTTTGTGAATCTGACTTGGAAGACCAGCTCATTGGGCTTTAAATCTTCTTGCTTTTCCAATAAAGCAAATGGCTTTCTTTTATACAATGGCATTCCGGAAAATTCAACTACAGTGACTACAAAATCCAGAAATTAACGATCAAATCCCATAAAGCCTAGATAAATCTTGCAACTGTGAAACCTAGATAGATATACAATCAAATTTCCAGTATCCATTCATGCATTAATTGCTCATACAAAAATTCATAAATGCACAAGCATTTATATCGAGCATAAAATCCAAAAAGCATAACCCAGAAATTCAAATATTCTTTGCATTACGGTAAAGAGCGAACAAAGACGATTCCCGCCAGTGGAGCATTGCATTCAATTGCTTTACTTTAATGTTTTAAAAGAAAGCACCGACGAGGAAGATAGATTACCTGATTGAAGTAGAAGGAAATGTCAGATTTGAGCTTTGATTTTAGGACTTGGTTTTGAGTTTCCCGGCACGGCGGAGGAGAGAGGTTGTGGTGGAAGCACGGTTTCGTCTCTGGTCGACTGAGGAAGAAGACCCCTCTCTCTCTCTCTGTCTTCTCTCTCTCTGTCTTCCTCGCTCTTCATGCATTCCCTCTTTTCGGAACTGTGTTTGCTGTATATATATAGTACTCGTCGCATGGACTATTCTGCCCTTTCTCTTTCTTTTAGCTAATTTTTTTTTTTTTTTTTTTTTGGATGACGTGAGAAACCTTACAACCCTTTCAGTTTCAGGTGTAGGTAAATTTCGCATTATTTCGCATTATGACTTTAAACGATAAATGATCACAATGAATTAAATCAGTCTATGTTACTCATAACTGACTGACGCAATCAAGTCGGCAATGATTCAAACTCGTGACCTTGTGATTACAAGTGTAGATCTCTTGTCATCTTGATTGGGATTATCCCATATTTTTTTGTTAATTACTATGGACAAAGTATTATTTAGATTTAATTTTGGATTAGTCATTTAACTATCACTTATTGTTCCTTTAAAAAAAATTATCACTCATTTTTTATTTTAGTATTTAATTTTAAAGTTATCAAATTTAGTTCTTAAGTATTGAATCATTTTTAATTTTAGACTTTTATTTCATCATTAGCCTTTCTCTGTGTGAACCATTGACGTAGAGGATAAATTTAGAACTTTATGATAATTATGTTAATTATTTCTCGAACATGAAAAAACAAAGTCCTAATTTCATTATTTTAACAATTTTAATTCCACTCTCAATGTTAACCGTTCACATGAGAAAAAAGTTTGCAGTTATTAAATTAAAAAGATTTCAATACTCCATGACTAAATTTAGTAGCTTTAAAAGTCAAAGACTACAATTGAAAATGAGTGATAATCAGAAGAACCAAAAAAATAAAAGCTTTAAATAGTCCATTATATATTCTTTTCTATATCCGTGACTAAAGAACCAAAAAACCACTCTAACAGAGAGACACCTCTCAACTACAAACAATTCTAAACACCACAGGCATATGTATGGTATCTATCTACAAGATCATCTGCCCTCAGTTTAACCCACCATTACTGTATCCACCCTATGAGTGGCATCCAGTTTCTTCTCTGTATCATCATCAAAATCAGTAATATTGAAGTTCAATGGATGGGCATTTGCAGGCGAAAGTTCATTGCTTTCCACTGTCCCGGAATAGCTGCTAATTTCATGTGTCTGCTCTAGCTTTTCTGAACTGTTATCCACAGAATTCATGTCCTGGCTCATGCTCATTCCTTGTTCCAATTCTTCGTTACTCACTTTTTGCACCGTCTCCTGATCTTCAACGCATAAATCCGGAGACTCACTTTTAGCATCTTTTTGTAATGGCAGCTGGTTTGCTTCTTGAAACGGTGAAGGAATTGCAGGTTTGATGGATGGCTTCACATTACCAGCATTTACTGCAGCCTTGGACTGAGATATCAAATGATTGAGCCATAAAAGGAGGTCAATTAAGTATGCATCTGTCTTCTGCTTTTCTGCATAGTGTAGAGTCTCGATTTGCATTACGTCTGTTGGCACAACTGCCCTCCGGTTTTTATCTGACCTGTTCATCGACACATACGTTGTTCAACTCAAGCACTTCACAAAAATAATCCAGCACAAAAATAGAAGCAAGGCATTCGGTACTTACCCGGAATTAACCCACTCCCCAACCCAACCAAAACCATGGTGAGCCCTGTTTCAGATTAGTACATTATAAATGACAGAAGAGAGAGAGAGAGAGAGAGAGAGAGAAAGAAAGATTAGCACCCATAATGGCAAGGAGCAGATAACACTTGAACTATTTGTTAAAGGATCTAGATTCATACTTGGCAGTGCTTGTTGCAACGGGAACAAGCCAGTGCAAAGTTTTCTCCATCTCTGCTTTGATTTCTACTACAGTTAGCTGCACAAGGAGAAAGAAAACAGCTATCAGAGTTTTGGTAAAATTTTGGCTTATTTGACCACTATTAGCTGTTTGACTTAGTTAAACAATCATTTGATTAATTAGCTTTTTGTAACAACTTATTGCTCCAAAATGCTAAAATTCAAAAAGCTACTCATTTTGATCAGCTTTTCGATCAGCTTTTTGAGAAAGTCATTTTGTATGTAATCAGCTATCAACTAACAGCCATTTACCAAACACTCCCAAAGTAGACCTCTAGTATCAGTGATAAGCTAATCCTGCAGAGAGAAGGCATTGGAACCTTAAGATGCCAAACTCTAAACGTATAGACTACAATCTAATTTGAGCATTACCTGTATTGCGGAAGTTTTTTGCATTTTGCTAAATCAGTAATATTAACCCCCTTTTAGGAAAATGACATGGTATTCAGAATGAGATCAAGGATACCTTCTCTTTGACATGGAAATGCTGCAGCTTAGATCGCAAAGAAGATTTTATATTAGTTGGAAGGCTCTGATATAACGTATTTCTTGCATCCGGAGGCATGGAACTTGATCTTGCTACCTGATGAGCAATAACCGACAACCAGGAATAACTAAGACTTAACCAGAGGGGAAAAAAAGGAAAAATAAAAGGTATCTTAAAACATAATATTGTATACAAATGTATCTGCCTTTACAAGGGAGGCTCTTACAATTGAATCAATCTGGAGTATGATATTAGCATAATGCAGTGCAAGGCCCGCTGGCCCTAATCTTTGCTGGCTTCTCTCGAATGCTTTCTTTGCTCTGTCATCATCTGCAACAACAAGATCTTGCATTCAAGTATGATAGTTTAAGATAAACATAATATGCTACCAGAAAAACTGCTTTCTAGTTGAGAACATTAGAACCACATACCAGAACTGCCAAAAGCATTGTTTATCTCCTGGTTCAGGAATAGGACAAGATCCACAAGCTTTTCCATAATCTGCTTTTTAGGGGAAGGATGGTAGCATAAATATACAGACGTTAAACATGCTTCATGGTAGGTAGAAGTAGGAAATAGTCCATATAAGGAAGCATATAAGTGTAGTTGGTCAGTCACCTCTTCCAAACTTCTAGACCAGAGTGATTTTTTCTTTAAACTTCGTACTTCTTTCTTTTGGCTTTTAAACTCAGCAGCTAAAATTGATAACCCATCATCTGCTGGCACAGAAAAGAGCACCAGTTATCCAGGAACTGAACAGTGTGCATTGCACTTAAATCCTTTTCTCCGGAGTAAAGCTAAATGATAACCAAGGCTTTCATCATTAAGCAATCACTCTAAGAAAATAAATAAAGTTGTAGGTCTTTCAAGTTCAACTTAGAAGACAGAACCCAACGACATTTTTTCAATCAATATTACAATAGTTGAATAAAGCATGCTATTTTACACGGCACACAACTTTAAGCTTTCAAGCTGCTATTTTGCTTAGCTGATATGTTGTTAGCATTATAAAAAAGCAATCGAACCAATTTAGATAAATGGCATTTTCTAGCATGAAATATAGCCTTTAAAAATGTTCCATCCAAACCAGGAAGCAAAGAAATTCAAACAAGAAAAAAGAGGAAAAAAGTAGACTGATCACCTTTTCGACTGCTACTAAATTTACTATCTTTCTGTTTGAGCTGATAATCTTGCTGAAGTCTATCCAATGTGTGCAACTCATGGTAAAGTTCCTGTTAGATCGATAGAGTTTCAGTCTTTTCATTTTCAAAAGATGTTTTCTGCTCATTCTAAACATAAATTTGTCAAGGAGACTATTCACTTGCAGAGTTGCAGGAACAAGAATATCAACATGTCATGGTAGTTTAAACTACACACGAAAAGAAAAACAAGGCAAGGGGACATATATATAAATGATGATATGTCTCTAATGCTCTGGTATTATATCACTTCTCTCAAATATAAACAACAGAAAATATAATTCTCTGCAGTAATAAATAAATAAAACTTGCAATTTGAATCTAATCCATCAGTTATTAATTTATTAGAGAAAAGACTAGCAGTGGAAGATGATACTAACAGCAGTGCATTGAACCAACACCAGTAGCTGTTGCATAACAAGTTCAGCTTCTTCCCTTAATTGCTTCTTAGGAGTACGCTCTCCCCTGCATCTGTAAAGACAAAATTCAACATACATGAACAAAGATCAAATAATGGCATCTGCTTAAATAAGCAATACCACCTCAAAGAGGCAAAGGGCTCTGCAGTATATTACTTCTCGAAGAAAAGGTCCAAGTTGTGCCATTGAGGAGCTTTACATCTATTTCCGAACCTTACTACTTCTCCCACAAGTACTTTAAGCTCTTCCCTGGAAAAATAAACAAACTTTTTAACTAATCATCCATTTCATTCAACAATGACAATGAATCTACATGTATACTAATAAGTAATAACTCTGTCTGGGATCAACCTCTTATCGAGAGCAACAATGCTTAGAAGTTCATCCATGTCAGTAGATACAAGATTCTGCACACCTTCTGAAAGCAGCACCACATCCCTCAAATGGCATATGCTTCTTTTAGAAAGCGATTGCATAAGATTAGAGCCCTTAACGATCGTATTAGCAACCTCGAATGACAGGATCAAAAGTTCATTCCCTTTGTTCGTCGCACCAGAAACAAATCCACCGCTCCCAAATGTATCAAACACTTCCACAGCCTTGTCTAGTCCAACACTCTCTAGAATTTCCTGCAAATTAAAACTCACGAACTCCACTGAAACCCTAACTCGCACAAACCCGACCGGCCATATAGGGTTTAATAATACACGCAGCTCACTCACCTTGGCGACTCGCCGTGATCTCGATTTTTGTGATCGACTCCGCCGGTACCTCGGAATGCCGTCGTAAAGTTCATCCTCGCTGCTCGAGTACCCCGAGTGATCCTTCGGCTGCTCTTCCACCTCTTTGCTCATGCTCTCCGGCACCGCCGGCGGAACCACAGCCTCGCTGCTCTTCCGCTCCGGAGACTCATTCCGGTGGAGCTTCTGCTTCTGGGAATACGAATGCTCCTCCGAGCCCCTGCTGGCGTACGGATTCACCGAATTCTCCGAATCCTTAGAACAAATCCCTCCCATTCCACGCAACAAACTCAATCAACAGGCCGCCACGCCACCGTCGGTGTGATTCATCAATAAATTATCTGAAAATCAGCAAATATTTCTACGATTCAGTGGGAAACTACCAAACACAGAGAGGAATCAATAATCATGTTTGAATCGTCAAAGTGGATGAGCCACTGCATGCAACCACCGATCGGCGTTGACTACGAATCAGTCAAAGCTCTGGAAGTTTGAACTTTGCGCCAAACGGACAACAGCGGTTATTTTGTTTTTTGTTTTTTGTTTTTTGTTTTTTACGAGGGAACGGTAATTATTTTAAAGTGTACACATATAAATTTTATTTTTGTGTAATAATTCATAAATTATATATATATATATATATAATAAATTTAAAAATTAAATTAAATATAAAAATTATGTTTTACCCGTTTAAATTATATGCGATTCGCCGGTTGTTTAGGTAGTATGTCCATGTACCACTATGAATATTTTTTTTTAAAAAATAGATTTTTATATAACTAATTGGCCGTCCAAAAGGAAAAAATAATCAATTATTAGACATTTGGACCTTTTAAATTGAAGGGTTGACAAAGTTTATTTGAATTGATTGTGTATTATAATAATGATAATAATAATAGTTCAAATATATGATAAGTATTTTTATAATGTTAATATCTAATATTGAAATATACTTGTTACCAAAATTAATAATACGAAGTATATGGGATTAATTATTTATTTATAGTAAGTATTACACTTAATTAATTTTATATGCTAATGGTACACAAAAATAATTAATTTCTACTACATATAAAAGGGTAGTTACTAATTAGACTACAATAAATAATCATATCATAATTTTATAGATATAAAATATTATTGTAATAGTTATGGTTTGGTATTTAATTTTTTGAAGATATGGTTTGGTATTTAATATGCAATGACTTATGGTCTATCACTCTATTGATGAACAAATGCACCCTGAAGAAAAAAAAAAAAAAAAAAAAAAAAAAACTCTAGTTTTTTCTTTTTGGATCATTTGGAAGGGATACCCAAAGAAGCTATTAAACTACTGCTTCCACTGGCGCAAATTATCCGTCAAGTTTTTTATTTTCTTGCTGCTGTTGATACCTTCTATTAATGAACAAATTCAAATTTTTGTATCATGTAATAATTATATTTAAAATTTTAAAACTTTTAGGCAATAATAAGTACATCTATTTTTTTTTTAATTAAGGATTGGTCGAGTTTAAAAATAAATTTTGATGTACCAATTGACTCATTGTATTTTTAAAAATTTCACAATTTTAGAAGTGTTTTTTTAAAAGAAGAAATCAAATTGGTTCCCAACTATTTATAAAAGTGTAATTAATTTTTTAAATTATGGAAAATTTTAAGTACACATTCTAACTTGAAAAAGTGTAATTAGACCCTTTTAATTGAAAGTCAACCCTAAGGAATGATAAAGTTTCATAGAGTCCTAGTAAAAATTATAGTAAATACCTAAAATGGTTCCTCGACTATAGCTAAATTTACAAATTGGTCATCGACTTTCAATTTCAACCAATTAAGTCCTTAGCTTTGTAATTTTGACACGATTTGGTCCTCCATCTATTTGACCATTTGTTGACCATGATCGACGATTTGCAAAAGAACCTTCAGCTCTCGTCGGAACACATGGAGGCCTCCAGAATGACGTTGCACTGGTTCGGAAACATGTCGTCTTTTCGCTCTGGTACGAACTCAACTACATTGAATCCAAAGGGAGGATGAAGAAAGGCGACCAGATTTTGTAGATTGCTTTCGGCAGTGGATTCAAATGTAACAGTGCGGTCTGGAAATGCAACCGGAACCTTAAAAACCCGACGATGGACCATGAAATTACATATATATCCTCAAAAATCACAGTCAACAAACAGTCAAATAGACAGAGGACCAAATTGTGTTAAAATTGCAAAGTTAAAGACTTAATTGGTTGAAATTGAAAGTCGAAGACCATTTTGTGAATTTAACTATAGTCGAGGGACCATTTTGGGTATTTACTCTAAAAAATTAATGAAGACGTTGAAAATCACTAGTTAAATAAAGTTCTCCATAATAGTCATTAATGACTAATATGACAACTCTACTAAGAAGGTCTTCTTCTATATTTGGATGAAAATGGGTTGGGAAGTAGAAACTCTCGTTTTCTTCCAATATAGAAGAAGATGGAAGAAGACTGAGTTGTTCTGGTAGACAACTATTAAAAAAATAAAAATTAACATTATTATTTTTGTATTTAAATACATGACACATTAACATTCAAAATAGATATGGATGTCAAGTCAAGTATTTTTAATAGGTTATATGATAGTAACAGTGTTTAATTGAAACTTTTTGTAGTTTATGAGGTTAATTGTACTTTGTAGAATACTTCAAGAGTTAGACATTTTATCTCATAACAAAAAAAAAAAAAAATAGGGAAAGAAGGGGTTTCAACCTTAGCTTTTGTGGGTTCACACTCAGCTTAGAAAGCTTGTTGAAAAATGTTATTGCAACTTTTATGGTGATCATGTAATTTTTTTAATTGCAATTCAAATGATGTTATTAAACGTAATTTGACCGAGACGTCAATAAAACTGTTAACATAAAACAATATTATAAAGAATTAATTAGCAATGTAAAGTTTTCCTTTCCCAAATATTATTTATTGAACTAGTAGAAAATGCAAAGTTTTTATTTTATATCAATGATATATTGAAAACTAAGTAGAAAATAACATTTTCATTACATTGGCAATTGGCATGTCCATAGTATTTGGTTTAAATATAAAAATTGAAATTAAATATTTAGTAAGAGTTAATTACTGAAATGGTCCATTGACTATAGCGAAATTACCAATTTAGTCATTGACTATTTTTTTGACTAATTAAGTCCCTCAATTTTAAAATTTTTAAACCAATTTGGTCCTCCGTTTGTTTGACCGTTAGTCAACCATTAACTTGGGACCAAATTGGTAATTCGTTATAGTCAAGGGACCATTTTGGTAATTAACTTTAAGGGTCGACAATTCAGTTCAGTATTCTCGAACCATACTGTACCAAACTAGTTAGATTCCGTAATATACCGAACAACCGAACGGTAATAGATTCTTGTATACCGAATGGTTCGGTAAAAACTCGAACCGAATTGAATTGTTTGGTAAAAACCGAATCGAACCGAATACCATTTGAACTTTGTATTGCTATTTTGTTATATATTAGACTTTTGATATGGACTATGTAAACACCATAACACATAATATAGAACTTTTGATAATAAACCATAAAAAAATCAAATAAAACATTTACGAGAGATACTCGTGAGAATATGAGCTGAACGATAGAGCAAGCAACAAGGGACTTAGATTTACTTTTTATTTATTTATTTATTTATTTATTTATTATTATTATATTTAAAAAAAATCAAACGGTATTCGGTTCAGTTTAATTTTTTACCGAACAATTTGGATCGGTTTTTTATCGAACCATTCGGTATACAAGAATCCAATACCGTTCGGTTGTTCGGTATATTACCGAACCAAACTATTTCGGTTCGGTTCGGTTCGATTCGTGAAAACTAAATCGAATTGCCCACCTCTAAAGTTAATTACCAAAATGGTCCCTTGACTATAGCGAAATTACCAATTTGGTCCCAAGTTAACGGTTGACTAACGGTCAAACTAATGGAGGACCAAATTGGTTAAAAATTTTAAAGTTGAGGGACTTAATTGGTTAAAAAAAATAGTCAAGGATCAAATTGGTAATTTCACTATAGTCAAGAGACCATTTTGATAATTAACTCATTTAGTAATTTGGTGAAAGAATACTAATACAAACAATAATCTCATACCACCCATTTGTAATCTAAATCAAGGGGAACATTGTTTCCAATTTCCTTAATAATCTGCTAGTCATTGAGTCACAGTGATTTTACATCCTCCCAAATGTTCTGTCGAGACAGTATGTGGGCCCTTCGAATTGTGGATTCAACCTTTGGAAAGAGAAGGAAAATACTTGGTGGAGAAGATCTGAACAGAAAAATTATTTGCAGAAAGTTGAAATAAACACAAAAGCTAAGAGAATTATTACTTCAAAGATCTGCGCAATCTGATTTGAATCAAAGTTGTAATAAAGGGCAAACAAATACAGTACACTCCACCAATCTACTAATTATCATTCTTTGTATCACCATTTTCTTTAACAATGGTGTCACTTTTCTTGGTATCGCCATTTCCCTTAACCAAGCTCTCAGCTTTCTTGGTGTCTTCTGCAGCTGCTTCTTCCTTTTCCTTTGCTGCAGCCTTGCTTCTCTCTTCTTCCTCAGCTTTCAACCTGGCTTCTTCTTTTGCAGCTTCCAGGGCCTTGATCAATCTCTCCAGGCACGTCTCTGCTTTCTCTCTACCAGATTTGGGCATCAAATTCTCAGCAACATCTGCAGGGGTGATTTTAGTTTCGCCCAGCAAAGCTCTGATTTCTGGAAAAAGTTGGTGGGATTCAAGGTCCAGATAGTTTCTGGCCAGCACCTTGAAAGCTTCAAAGCAACAATAGGAGAGCTCAATATGGCTGTCCATCCTCCCTCTCCGAATCAGAGCAGGGTCGAGCTTTTGGATGTAATTGGTGGTGAAAACTATGATTCTTTCTTCTCCAATGGCTGACCAGAGTCCATCGATGACGTTTAGAAGGCCTGATAGAGTCACCTCACTGCCCTTCTCCTTCTCCTCTGTTTCCTTGAGTAATTCCTTCTTGATTGGATCTTTCTCTTCTTTTTGTTCTTCTTTTTTCTCCTTCTTCCTCTGCCCTGTTAGGTCAAGAGAGCAATCGATATCTTCGATTACAATGATGGATTTGCAGGAAGTTTCTATCAACAGCTTCCTCAGCTCGCTGTTATCCTTCACCGCCGTGAGCTCTAGATCATACACATCGTACTGCAGAAGATTGGCCATGGCGGCGATCATGCTAGACTTCCCTGTCCCGGGCGGGCCGTGGAGGAGATATCCCCGCTTCCAGGCCTTCCCTATCTTGGCATAATAGTCCTTGGAGTTTGTGAAATTATGAAGCTCTTCCATGATTTCCTGTTCATCATGAACCTTGTTTAGTTGATTGATTTGATTTACATGGGATTCATTGTTAATTGTGCATCCCATAGAGGAAATATTAATTTTGGTTCCAAGAATATGCAAAATGACAGTTTTACTCCACATGTTTAATTTCTATCAATTTTCATCCACCACTATTATTTTAGTGACAAAATTTAACACGTCAGTCACTCATTCATTTAAGACATGTTAAAATTTAAAATTTTGAAAGGTATTTTCGTCCTTTTCAACTTAATATCTCAATTTGAGCATGAATAATGAGATTTAAGCCTTAAGATCGATCATAATTCACAGTTCTCATCGTCATCTTACATTAATTTGAGGAGAAAAATTGTGAATTGGGATCCATCTTAGGGCTTGAAATCCTTTATTAATGCTCAAATTGGGTTCTTAATTTGGAAAAAGACAAAAATATCCTTAATAATTTTATATTTCGGTATATCTAAAACGGAGAGGTGACCTGTGTGATGAATTTTGGCACTAAAACAATAGTCGTGAATGAAAATTGGTACTAAAACAAGTGGATGAAAATTGGTAAGAATTAAACATGTGGATCAAAACTGTCATTTTGCTAATACTCGTGGGACTAAAATTGGTATTTGCATAAGGATGATTTAACACCTGTTTCCGGGTTGGTTCCATAGCCAAAGTGTTGAAATTGGAAGGGTGCTTGAAGATCACATGGCTCCATTTGGTACTCCTCCACCCATGCCAGTCATCACTCTTGTTGTTGGTGTAAAGCTTCCGCTTCCTGTCCCTCACAGCCATGGCTTCTCCCTCGTCCAAAACATGTTTCAGGTAAGACCCAGTGATCATCTCTCGGTTCTTCCTGTGAAACTTAAGCTGGAAAAACCGCCGATCGTCCTCCCTAGGGAAGTACGAGATTGTCTGGCGACTGGGAGGGTGCTGGTCGGAGCTCCACCAAACCTTAATCCCTTCAAACACATCGGTCACCTCTTCGTGGTCGTCCATACTGAGAACCAGCGCCTGGGTGCTGTCTTTGACGCCTTTGGCCACCAGGCGCTTGGCGTTTTTGGAGGAGTTATAGCTTAGGTACCTCTCAATCGCCATGAACACTTTGCTGCGGTCGAAGAGCTCTTCGTTTTCAAATTCATGGAAGGTGATGTGGATGTATGGGTAGAAAAAGGAGTAAAGTTTTTGGGCATGGGTGATGATATAAGTGCGAAGTTGATCTGGGAAATAGTTCTGGTATAAGGTCCAGATGAACATGAGTGTTGCAAGTGAAGGGCCTAGCTGAGACCAGACATCCCCCATCATCTTCTCCTTCAGTTCTTGATTTCTGGGTTTAGGTAGTACTGGCAATTCAAGTGGCCTGGCAAACTCTTATACTTGGTATTGGCGTTTTGGACAAGATCTATTTCACCGACCAGATCCTTAATTATTTCCTCGGAAACTTGGTAGTTAAGTTAATGAGGAATTTAAAACAGGTGGGAATGGACAGTGCCAATGTGAACAGAGTGTTAAGTTGTGGGAGTGGTGAATGAGGTCACTGTGATGACGTCAGCTGTAGTGTCTACTTCTTTGTTTTCTTTTCTGTTTTGTTCTTTATTTATTTATGAAAAAAATCATTTTTGTTCGTCCATTATAATACATGTATCAATTTTAATCCTTAATTTTAACTATTAAAATTTTTAAATTAAGTGCATGACTATTTAATTTGTATCATATTTTGTCCTGCACTATTAATATTTTCAAAGTAGGTACATGACTATTCAATTTGTATCACATTTTGTCCCACTGTTAAATTTTTCCATCAAATTTTCACAAATCACCGATGACCGGCTAATTTTGAAAAAACACATAACAACAATAACAACAACAACAACAATAATAATAATCTATATATATATATATAAAAATAAAATCCTCCTAGCCAAGTTTTCCCCCCAAAACTTAGGGGCATTTATGTAATCTAATAATAATAATAATCTATAATAATATTATTATTACCTTTTTTATACCCAGTTTTGTTATCAAATATATTAGGAATAATTATATTAGTAATATATTATTAATTAAATAATTAAATAATTTGGGAAAACCGTTAGAACAATGTAGTTATACAATATGTAGTAATTAAGGTGATTATTGTTAATTAAGCTAATTAGTGTGTAGTATTTTATTTATATATAAAAGCTATACTCATACAGAATGTATATGTATATGGAATGTCGTGTAGTAGTGGGCAGGAAGTAAATAATTGAAAGCTTTTACCTTTCTTAATATCTCTTACCATTTTATAATTTCAATACTAAGCTCTTTTGATCTCATCTATTGTGTATAAATACACCTTATATGACCATAGCCAACTCATCAATTTCACAATCACAACTAAGGTTAATTATTTCATTGACTTTTGCTAATTATCCTGTGATCTTCCACAGTTGAGGTTGATACGTGATTTGCACGGGTGAGGTTTTCATTATCTTAGTTTCTTTTTCTTTCTTTCTTTTTGGGTTTTGTTTTGTTTTGTTTTTTGTTTTGTTTTTTTTTTTTTTTTTTTTTTATTTTTAAACAAGAAAAGTGGTTCATAAGAAAAAAAATGTTGATATATTTTTTTGTTTGTTTATTTTTGTGGAGAAGATACAGATCTATAAAGATTGATCGGGAAGCAATAGAGTTCCTTGCTCATCAAGTGAATAAAGTTTGTTGATGGATGAATTTTGTGTATATGTAAACAGATACAAATGGAAGCATGATAAGAATACACTAAAAACGAAAATAATATTCAAAGCATTTTTTTAGTTGTCAATTTGTCAAAGCGTTGGGCTTTCTTTTGATTGAATCTCTATGTCTTTAAAGTGTGCATTTTCGGTAATAAAAGAGTAATTTGTCTCTCCCTTCAAGACGTTTTTCTTGCCATTGAAACCTTTTTTTTTTTTGGGGGGAAGAAAAATGATGAAGTATTGTGGCTTAGATTGAACAAAGTATTATTTTGATTTTATTCTTCATCTGACTGTCCTTGATATAAAATCACTTTCTGTGTAGTTTTTATGATACTTTTATTTTATGTTAATCTCTCTCTCTCTCTCTCTCTCTATATATATATATATATATATATATATATATATATATTATTTTTATACTTAAGTTATAATATTATTAGTACAAAATTAATTATACTTGCCTTAATAATTAATTATTAAATTCATTGTCTAATTTTTATTTAAAAAAAGAAAACTGGAAAAGATTCCATAATTCACTTAATAATAATAATAACATGGTTTTCAGTAAAAAGGAAAATGAAATCTGATCTGCAAGTCAACAAAAATAATAATAATAATAATAATAATAATAATAATAATAATAATAATAATAATAATAATAATAATAATAATAATAATAATAATAATAATGATAAAAAAAATTGGGTAGATAATAATAAATATTCCACAGTTTTCTTATATTGTTCTACTAGGCCATACAATTGACTCTTCGGATTGAGAAATTTGAAGATTGGACCTCAATTCCTGAGATTTTAGAGATTTGATTTTGTAATAATAATAGTCTGTATCTATATATATATATATATATATATATATATTACACTATTATTAAAAACAAAATCCTCATTTATGTTTTTCCGTTCAAACTCTTACACCCAAACAATTAATACTTGATAATTAATTAACTAAAGATTAATAAGAAGAAGAAGAAGAATACAAATAGACTTAAAACGGAAAATGGAAAATTCATTGCCTAATTTTTATTTAAAAAAAGGAAAAATAGAAAAGATTCCATAATTCACTTATTAATAATAATATCATGGTTTGCAGTAAAAAAAAAATGGACTTTGATCAGTAAGTTAATAACAATAATTAATAATAATAATAATAATAATAATAATAATAATAATAATACAAATAATAATAATAAATGAAAAAATACAAAAGGATATATAATTTACTTATAATATTAGGAATATAAAAAGGAAAAATGGAAAAGGATCCATAATTTGTTTAATAATAATAATAAAAAGATTTGTAGTAAAAAAGGAAAATGAAATATGATCTGTAACTCAATAATAATAATAATAATAATAATAATAATAATAATAATAATAATAATAATAAAATAAATAAATACAAAAGGATCTATAATTTACTTATAATATTATGAGTAAAAAACAGAAAAATAAAAAAGGATCCTTAATTCATTTTTAATAATTGACTGAAAATTAAAAATGCTTCAAAATTAACTCAAATGCAAAAAATAAAATGAATATTAATGCTTGAATATTAATAAATTACTGAAAATATAAAAATTTTCATTGAAATTAGGCCAATTGCAAAATAAAATGAATATTAATAAGTTACTAAGAATATAAAATTATTCCTTTCAATATATATATATATATATATATATATATATATATATATATATATATATATATATATATATATATATATATATTACTGGTATAAAATGTATGAATAAATATGTAAAATGAAGTTTGCATCTCAAAGTTTAGCTGAGATAGAAAGAAATATTAATCTCGATTATATATTTTATAAAATGTAAAGTTAGTAAAAAAAAAAATTGTTATTAATAATTATTGAACTCTATAATCATAATTACAGAACTCTATGTTCATTGTTACTGAACTATAAGTTCATAACTATAAAGATATATATTCATAATTTTTGAACTTGATATTCACAATTATTGAATCTCTATATTCATAATTACATAACTATATGTTTATAATTATGTTCACAACTCTATGTTCATAATTATAGACTATATATTCATAATTTTTGAACTATATATTCATAATTATGAATAATTTTTGAACTGTGTCTACCTTACAAGGTGGACACAGTTCCACAGCATAATTTGTCGGGTCAATAGTACTAAAAAAAAAATCATTTGGACTTCTGAATACTTGCCCACATTGATGGGCAAGCAATTATATGTTTGTACAACAACAATAATAATCCAAACAAAACTATATACAAAATAAAATTAAAATTAACAAAAAGAAAAAAAGAAAAAAAAAAAAAAAAAAAACAAAGGGGAGCCACGAGCTCCCTTTATATATGATGTGGGATCATTTTGATCCCACATTGAAAATGTTTGAAAAGATGAGCTCTTGAGTTCCTCCATATAAGAGGTACAAACATATAATTGTTTGCCCATCAATGTGGCAAGTATTGAGAAGTCAAAAGGTTCTTATTTAAGAAACCTTAGCTTTGTCTTCTTATTTTAGTTTTTATTATTTATTTGTTATTTATTTATTTATTTATTTATTTATTATTAGTGGTGTTGTGAAAGATTAACCCAAAATGTATGTGTTGTTTTAATTTTTAGCAGTTTGGAGTAAATTACTAGGGATGACAATGTGCCTCGTCCCCATAGAGGACGGGGACGGGAAAAAATACTGGGGATCGGGGACGGGGACGGGGATACCCCTCCCCGCCCCGCCCCGTCCCCGAAAAAAAAAATTATATATATTATAAATTAGGAATTATATTATTAGTTATTTAGCTTTATTAGATTACTTCACTACCACCGCTTAAATAATTCACTTAATTTAATTTATAAAATTAAAATCTAAAACATAAACGATTAAACATCGCAAAGTACTCAATATTATACTATAGTTTTAAAAATAACTCTATTAGCACTTTGGATTTCATTTTTTTCCGTTTGTATTTTTAAAAATTATATTAATTTGAGACTTTGACTATAGGTTGATCGGAGATGGGGATTCCCCGTCCCCGCAAAATTCCCCGCAGGGGCGGGGGATTTTTTCAATTCTCCGTCGGGGACAGGGTCGGGGTAGCGGGGACGGGGACGGGGAGTACCTGTTGCGGAATATTATTGAGCTATTAAATAATATTTTTGGTGTTTTGATAAACGATAAATTGTTAAAATGGCTAATTTGTTAAAATTTTGACAAATTTGTCAACAACAACAATAATAATAATAATAATAATAATAATAATAATAATAGTAATAATAGTAATAATAGTAATAATAATAATAATAATAATAATAATAATAATAATAATAATAATAATAATAATAACAATAATCCAAACAAAACGATATATACAAAATAAAATTAATTTTTTTTTAAAAAAAAAAAAAAGACAAAAGGGAGCCACGGACTTCCTTTGTAAATGATGTGGGATCATTTTAATCTCACATTGAAAATATTTGGAAAGAGGAGCTCTTGAGCTCCTTATATAATAAGAGCAATGCTCCTCTTACAAACATAATTGCTTGCCCATCAATGTGGGCAAGTATTGAGAAGTGCAAAGTCTTTTTTTTTTTTTTGAGAAGTAAAGGAAAATTAAAAATGGAAAGGAAATATATCAATAATAATATTTTACATAATCAAATAGTAAATGCATATTTTAAAAAAATAGTAAAGGTAAATTAAAAATGGAACGAAAATATTTCATTAATAATATTTTACATCATCAAATTAAAGTGGAACGAAAATTAGGTAAAAATATCACTGTATCTATATTCTTCTCCCAAAAGGTTGAATCCCCAACCCTAAGAGCCCCCCACACCCCGGTCTGACAAATATTTGGGAGGAACTGCATCTATATTCTAATTGACTGAAAATGAAATCTAATATTACTAATTAACTGAAAATAATTATAGGAAATGAATATTAATAATTGATTGCAAATAAAATATGATCCATAATTGACTAAAAAAAAAAAAAAGAAATGGTCAGATCAATGCATTTTAATTAAAAATGGAATGTGATTCAAAAAAAAATTAAAAAATGAAATGGAAATTCAAAATTGGAGGAAAATATTTCAATAATAATATTCTACATTATCAATAGTAAATGCATATTTTAAACAATAGTAAAGGTAAATTAAAAATGGAACAGAAATATTTCAATAATAATATCTACATCATCAAATAAAAATGGAACGAAAATTAGGTAAAAATATCATTGCATTTTGATATTCTAATTGACTGAAAATAAACAAAAAAAATGGCTGAAAATGAATCTAATATTACTAATTGATTGAAAATATAAAAGGATAACTAATTGAGTGATATTCTACCATTATATATTTTCACACAATTAACCCGCCTTGATGGATTGAAGGTATTAGCTCTAGACGAAGATAAACAAGATTGTGTTGCCACTACCAATGTCGTCTGCAAAGAAGTTTCAATAATGTGTAAATATAATTGGTGATATTATGTTTTTTTTTTAAATGAAAAAAATTGCTATATATCTAGACCAAAAAATATATCTTTCATACAAATGAATAAGGATAGCAATTCATTTCTATAACTGAGTTGTTAGAGAACGAGCACATTTGCCTAATTTATGAAAATACTAAACAATAATAAATAAAATCTTCAAAGTTATATCACTGTATGCGTACATCTAGATATTAGCTATTAATTTGAGCAATTATTTGCACAAATTCAAGCAATGATAACTGATGGGGTGTGGACCCCGGGCCTAAAGTCTGGGAGAGAGAGAAAAAGCCCAAGAGATAAAGAGTGGCCCGGAAAGAGGAAGAGGCCAGGCCCAAAAGAAGGAAAGCTTAAGAGAAGCATGGACCGAGCCACGGAGTCGGCCCGACCATGAGGTCGGCGCGAGTGTTCGGTCAGTGCAAGTGACGAAGAGACCGTTGGAGCATTTAAGATGACGTTTAATATATAGCCCAGTCAAAGAGCCGTTGGGAGGCCCAGTAACGGCAACCCATCGGCCTTTAGGGATAAATAGAGGTTAATGAGCCAATTATGACCTTAAATGTATGTTTTGAAGTCAAAATCAAGGGATACCTACTATAAAAGGCTCCTCCAAAGCTGTAAAAAGGCGGGTTCATGCCGAGAGAATAGAGACCCATACACACAAAAATTGCTTATTCCCTTCTATTTTTGAAAGGTGAATCCACGGTTGTGTTGGACCTCTCTGAACCCAAAAACCCTAAAACCAACAATAACATCAAAATATATAAACGATCCAAACCATATCTTTAATTGTACTATAAAATATTTGATATTCTAATTTAAATAATTATTTATTGATTTATATATTCTTATTATATTATAACAAATTCATTCCGTGCATCGCACGGGTGCAAATACTAGTAATAATAATAATAATAAACACTTTCCTAATAAAAGAATATAATAATTTAAAAAGTAAAAAACATTTTTTAATAAAAGACTCTGTCAAAGTTAACTTTTTTTTTTTTTCTTAATGAAGTGACATTTCTTGATTCACGTGTATAGCATCTAGACTAGTGGGGCACTATAAATATAATGGATACAAAAAATAAAGTGATTGCATCTAGGTAGAGGTAGCCAATAAATACAAGTTTTGATAGAATCTTCTTTTTCCTAAAAATAAAAAATAAAAAAATCCAATGTTCATTAGAGATCGACTTTTAGTAAGATGGGAGTGGATTTATGGGCATAAGTTGATGAGAATACTAAAGTTATGGAGTTGGCAAGTATGACTCAAGTAATTAAAAAAGACCAAAACTTTAGTTTTCAAAAAAAATTTAAAAAAAAAAAAAACTTCGTAGTAATTTAAGAACGCCTTTGGTACTTTCTTGTGGAGAAATATTTTTAAAGAATAAATTATTATTTTCACTTGTGCGATTCACGGAATGAATTTGTTGTAATATATTAAGAATATTTGAATCGATATATAATTATTTAAATTAGAATATCAAATATTATATAGTGCAATTAAATATATGATTTGGATCGTTTATGTATTTGATGTTATAATTGCTTGAATTTGTACAAATAATTGCTCAAATTAATAGCTAATGTCTAGATGTACCGTGTACGTATGCGGTGCTATAACTTTGAATATTTTATTTATCATTGTTTAGTATTTTTATAAATTAGACAAATATGGTGGTTCTCTAACAACTCAGTTATAGGAATGCATGAATTGTTATCCTAATTCATTTGTATGGAAGATATATTTTTTGTCTAGATATATATCAATTTTTCCATTAAAAAAATATAATATCATCGATTATATTTACACATTATTGAAACCTCTTTGTAGACGACATTGGTAGTGGCAACACAATCTTGTCCATCATCGTTTAGAGTAAACACCTTAATTCATTCCATCAGGATGGGTTACTCGGGGAAAATATATAATGGTAGAATATCAGATTCATTTTCAGTCAATTATTCTTTTTTATTTTCAGTCAATTAGTAACATCATATTCATTTTCAGTCCATTCGTTTTATTTTTAATTTTTGTTCCATTTTTAATTTACGTTTACTATTTTTTAAAATATGTCTTTACTATGGATGATGTAGAATATTATTATTGAAATATTTTTTCCCATTTTTCATTTTCCTTTACTTGATGATGTAGAATACTATTATTGAAATATTTTCTTTTTTGTTTTTAATTTTCTTTTACTTGATGATGTAGAATATTATTATTGAAATATAAACGAGATTAATATTATTTTCATATACTGAGTCAGTTTGAAAGCATTTTTTATTTTCAGTTAATTATTAATAGTCATTTCATATTTCAATTGGCCTAAATTCCATGCCATTTTTATTCTCAATAAATTATTCTTTTTTAATACATCTTAATTAATTATTAATAATAGTTTTTTTTTTAAAAATTTATTTTCAGTAACTTTACATTTTATAAAATATATAACCGAGATTAATATTTCTTTTCATCTCGGCTAAACGTTGATATGCAAACTTCATTTTACATTATATATATATATATAGATTAATAGAAAATTTTATGCTATTTAAATTTAAATTTTATCTTAATTTATTAAAAAACTTTTAAAAAAAAATTAAGTTTAGATATTTTGAATTTAATTTGAATATTCGGATTGAATTAAATATATTTGAATAATGTAGCGGAATCGATTAAAATTTGAGATTCGAATATTTATCTAATGCGAATAGTTCTCAAAATAATAGAATTCTAATACGAATCAAATAGTAATATATTTGACTCCATTCATGAGTTTGATTCGTTCACACCCCTACTCCCACTTAACACTCTATTCACTTAACTACCAAGTTTCGGAGGAAATTAAATAATTAGGGTAAGGATTTGGTCGGTACTACCTAAACCCAGAAATCAAGAATCAAGAATTGAAGGAGAAGATCAGAAGAAGAAGATGATGATGATGATGGGTAATTATGTCTGGTCTCAGCTAGGCCCTTCACTTGCAACACTAATGTTCATGTGGACCATGTACCATAACTTTATCTACACTCATGCCTACAAAATTTACTGCTTTTTCTACCCATACATCCAGATCACCTTCCATGAGTTTGAAAACGAGGAGCTCCCCGGCCGCAGCAAACTATTCGTGGAGATCGAGAGGTACCTAAGCTATAATTCCTCCAAAAATGCCAAGCGCCTGGTGGCCAAAGGCGTCAAGGACAGCACCCAGGCGTTGGTTCTCACCATTGACAACCACGAAGAGGTGAGCGATGTGTTTGAAGGGATTAAGGTTTGGTGGAGCTCCAATCACTACACTCCCAACCGACAAAAGGAGGCCAAGCGGCGGTTCTTCAAGCTTAAGTTTCACGGGAAGAACCGAGACATCATCACTGGGTCTTACCTCAAACATGTTTTGGACGAGGGAGAAGCCATAGCTGTGAGGGACAGGAAGCGGAAGCTTTACACCAACAACAAGAGCGAAAGCTGGGTCGGGTGGAAGAGCACCAAGTGGAGCCATGTCATCTTCAACCACCCTTCCAATTTCAACACTCTAGCCATGGAACCAAACCGGAAGCAGGTAAGTGATTTAGTGATGAAATCATAGGCAGTTATAAATAACTGTATAAATGAGAAAAGATAGCTAATAGTTATAATAACTAGTCTAATAACTATCATACAGGAGTTAGACTAGCGTAACTGGAGACGTTGTCATGCATCGAGGCCTGTTGTGGCCAATGAGATGTCGTTGCCATGCATCATGGCCTGTTGTGGCCGAAGAGATGACCAGTTGAATTGTGACAATAGTTTGGTCTTGACGATACCGACGTTGTCATGCATCGCGGCCTGTTGTGGCCAATGAGATGTGAGATGTCGTTGCCATGCATCATGGCCTGTTGTGGCCGAGGAGATGACCAGTTGAATTGTGACAATAGTTTGGTCTTGACGATACCAAACGAAATGACTCTGGTTGACTCTGGTTGGCGGCGAACGCGGAATCGGTTAACTTTGCCGGCAACATCCCAGGAGATCAAGTTCAACAAGAGTAGCGTGGACTTGCCGGCGCCGGGAAATTCGTAGGTGTGAGTTTGATAAGGGAGTGTGTAGTAGCCTGAAGTTGGGTGACTTTAGTGGTGCCGGAGCAGTAGCTGTAGCTTGGGTGGTGGACGTCATTGAGTAGGAAGGAAGCAAGGGAGAATTAAAAAAAAAATGATAGTCTCTTTCATAGGAAATTTTAGGCTCTTATACCACAATAAGATTATGAACAAGTGATTTATTGATGAAACCATAGGCAGTTATTTATAAATAGCAGCGCAAATGGGAAAAAGATAGCTAATAGTTATAACAAGTAGTCTAATAACAATTATACATGAGCTATACAAGAGCTAGACTATGACTAAATACAATAACGGAAGATCTAAGCCACACATATCTTTAACAGTAAGCACATAGCATGTAAATCAAATCAATCAACTAAACAATGTTCATGATGAACAGGAAATCATGGAAGAGCTTCACAATTTCACAAACTTGAAGGACTATTATGCCAAGATAGGGAAGGCCTGGAAGCGGGGATATCTCCTCCACGGCCCGCCCGGGACAGGGAAGTCTAGCATGATCGCCGCCATGGCCAATCTTCTGCAATACGATGTGTATGATCTTGAGCTCACAGCGGTGAAGGATAACAGCGACCTGAGGAAGCTATTGATAGAAACTTCCTGCAAGTCCATCATTGTAATCGAAGATATCGATTGCTCTCTTGACCTAACAGGCCAGAGGAAGAAGTTGGAGAAAGAAAAGAAAGATCCAATCAAGAAGGAATTACTCAAGGAGAAGGAGAAGAGCAGTAAGGTGACTCTATCAGGCCTTCTAAACGTCATCGATGGACTCTGGTCAGCCATTGGAGAAGAAAGAATCATAGTTTTCACCACCAATTACATCCAAAAGCTCGACCCTGCTCTGATTCGGAGAGGGAGGATGGACAACCATATTGAGCTCTCCTATTGTTGCTTTGAAGCTTTCAAGGTTCTGGCCAAAAACTATCTGGACCTTGAATCCCACCAACTTTTTCCAGAAATCAGAGGATTGCTGGGGGAAACTAAAATCACCCCTGCAGATGTTGCTGAGAATTTGATGCCCAAATCTGGCCGAGAGAAAGCAGATACGTGCCTGGAGAGATTGATCAAGGCCCTGGAAACTGCAAAAGAAGAAGCCAGGTTGAAAGCTGAGGAAGAAGAGAGAACCAAAGAGAAAGAAGCAGCAGAAGATACCAAGAAAGCTGAGAGCTTGGTTAAGGAAAATTTTAATGGCGATACCAAGAAAAGTGACACCATGGCTAAAGAAAATGGTGATAAGCACAGAGGCCCTGTTTAATGCATTTTTATGTTTTTTCATTTTTTTAAATAGTTTTTTCATATTTCTTTTTAGAATTTGAAAACATTAGTACCTTCAAATTTAATGTGTACTAAATTATATTTAATTAAAGGATCAAATTTGAAACAAAATTCATAAAAAAGTGACTATTTATGATCAAATTGAAAACTAAAGATAAAATTGGAAAAAGTCAATAGCAGTAAACTATGGTCCAATACGATTGTCAAATAAAATTATAATAGAGTTAAAATATCCTTTAATATTTTTTAAAAATGAAACTAAAAAACAAAGCTCATGTATAACGTCAAATGAAACTGTAATAAAATTAAGGGAAAATGACACTTTTTCCCCTGAGTTATATACCTATAGCATTTTTTCCCCTTAAATTATTGAAGTGGCTGTTTTTCCCCCTGAAATGTTAAATGGACATATTTACCCTTAAACTAAATATTTAATTTATTTTTTTTTCTCCAACAAATTATGACCATAATTTGGTTCAAACTAAACAAACACTATAGCAACCAAACAAAAATATTTCAATTACAATTTAGAATCGAAATTCGATATTTAGAGTTTATTAAAATCGTGAACCGGAACGGACGGTTAATGTTCCGAACTGAAAAAATAAAATACATTTATTATTGAATTTAGACTATTTTAAAATAAAAAATAAAATTTTAAAATAAAGACGATTCAAAATCGCGAATCAGATCCGGAACCGCCGGTTCACGGTTCAAGATTCAATTTTTTTGATAGATAATTTTAATAAATTGGCATTAAATATTGGGTTCTAGATCTGAATTATAATCGTAAACTATTAATTCGATTGCTTTAGTATCCGGTTCAATTCAAATCGAACCGTGGTCATCCCTACGTATACGCAATAATTTGTTGGAGTAGTAAAATAAATAAAATGTTTACTTTAAGGGTATAAATGTCAATTTAATATATCAGGGGGGAAAAAACACCACTTTTAGAATAATTGAGGGGGCTAATGTGCTTACCTAAATAATTGAGGGGGAAAAAGTGCTATAAGTATATAACTCATGGGTAAAAAGTGCCATTTTCTCTAAAATTAAAATGATATGAAGTACTTTAGTACTACGAAACTAGTGTAATTGAAGAATGAAACTAAAAAACATATCTCATACAATAATAATATATATTGTCAAATGAATATAAAATGTAATTAAAATTATACTTCAATGCTGCTGTAATTAAAAAATATTTTGTAAAAAGGAATTCGGTTATAATATTGATTTTATTTTTTAATGAAGTGACATCTTCTCCTTCACCGACAATATACATGATACATCGGCAGTGCATCAAATATTAACCCATAATAAATCGTAGTTTAATTTCATTTTCCTTGTATAATTAAAAATAGTAATTCCTTGGAGTCTTGGAGAATATGAGTCCTGATAATATTGGGAATCAAAAAGATTATGATCATCTATAAAAGCCTTAATTATTAGCTCTGATCTGCGCTGCCTAGCCTGTGTATGTATCCAAAACGCATTATTCCATAGCTTTCAGCAAAAAAGTATTCCGCAATAACTACTTTTGCTTCAATTATATTCATCCACAAATTAAAAGATCAGATGGCAGTATTGGGCAGAAAGATTCGGAATTTCATGAAGAACAAGTTTCACCGGAACACTAGGCATGGCGGCGGCGCCGGAGTTCCGAAGGGGCACGTCATCGTCTACGTCGGCGAAGAGGAAAAGGAATACTGCGTTTCATCTGAGTATTGGGACGCTATGCACTTTCTTCGAGAGTCTCATGAACAAAACCTACGATGCTTGCCGGATGTTTCGCCGCATGAATTCGAAATTCATCTCAACCGTGCAAAGCTTCTCGTTAAGCAAAAAGTATTCAACCTTTTCACTTTTACTGCAGCATCAACTACACATCTTACCATTTAAACCAATTCATAATCTGAATCCGTCTCTGACGTCTAGGTTAATAGACGATAATGGAAGAGAAGATTGCATGCATATTTCTTTTTGATTTTTCAGGATATCTTTATTTCTTGATTTTCTTTTGTGGCAAAAACTCCATCTAGTGGGAGAAGTAGGGTTCTTATATGTATTATTATACTTTTTTAAAATATTTTTCAATCAATAAATATTACATTTTTTTTAGTATAAATTGTTGACGAACAAGGAAAATAATCAACATACTATAATGAAATTGTATGGCATTGAGTTCACTGCAGAAAAGTGAGGAACTAGATGATAAAACATGAATTAATATGGGTAATCAATCAAGCAGTCAAGCCGACATTAGATGATAGTCGAAATAAATGTGAAAATGTAAATTAAAAATAAATTAAAATAAAAATCGAAAGCTATTGCTTTCACCGATTACTGGAACCTGCTGGTATATAATCATATTTCTTAGGAACTTAGAGGATATTGATTATCAAGAAAAAAGTAGTCAATATTCTTCATGAAGTTAACAAACACCTCTTCCAAGTTATTTTTTTCTTGCTCATAAATATGGAGAATATTGATTATTTATTTAAACATATAAAATAGAGAAACAACTTACTTATGAATTTCGCAACTTGAAGAAGAAAAAAAAAAAACCTTCGATTGCATGTATGTAGGTATAAGAAGAAAAGAATGACGGTTGCGCAATGAGTTTCAAGAGATTATAATTTGAAATGAGTTAATACCCAAAATAGTCCCTCGACTATGTCGTAATTACCAATTTGGTCCTCGACTATCATTCTTACCCAATTAAGTCCTCAACTATACAATTTTTACCCAATTTAGTCCTTTGTCAATTTGACTGTTTGTTGACTGTCAAAAGTGAAAATAAAGTTGTAATTTTACAAGTTTTCTCCTTCCTCCTCATTTAGCAGCGCCAAACCATGCATCGGATAGCCCATGAATTTGATTTCCAACGATTTTTTGACGATCGAAATATGATCGGAGTGTATTGCTGCATGATTTGGCGCTGCTAAATGGAGAGGAAGGAGAAATCTTGTAAAATTATAATTTTATCCTGACTTTTAACAGTCAACAAACAGTCAAATTAATACAGAGGACTATATTGGGTAAGAATTGTATAGTTGAGGACTAAATTGGGTAAGAATGGTAGTTGAGGACCAAATTGGTAATTATGACATAGTCGAGGGACCATTTTGGGTATTAACTCATTTGAAATTTTTATTTTACCCATGTATTATTAAATTGTTTTTAAGTTTTTCATTAGCTACAGACAGAATATTAAAGTTAGGGACCAAACTTGCCACTTTGCTCATAACTGAAGGACTAAACTCGGATACGACCATAACTTAGGGACTCACTCGGAACTTGGTTATAACTCAGGGACTAAAGATGCAATTTTTCCTATTATGTATTATGTTATATTATATGTATTATCTTTTCAAAAATAAAAACTATGTGTATTCTGTTATACAATTATGTACATTCGAAACATAAGATTTTTTTAAGAACTTAACAAACACAAAAGAAAAAAGGAGAAAATTTCAATTTTGGTCACATGACTATAGGGGCATTGTTAATTTTAACGCCGGACTTTTAAAAGTGTCAATTTAGTACCTTGACTATGTAATTTTTGTCAATTTTGATCACTCCGGTCAAATTGACGGTCAAATTTAGGCGAAAAAATTTAATCCAACATTTAGTCTAGAAAGGATCAAAAGACAATTTTGCCCCTCAGATTATAGACTAAATGTTTGATCCCACCCCCATCTCATATATAACCTTTGTATGTATATATGTATATATAGTACACGTTTTAATATTAGTATAAAAAACAGATGAATATTAATAAGAAGTGAGTTAGATTAGTTAGCAAAGCATATGTTTGGTTAAAATGAAGGTCATGGGTTCATTTCTTGTCATTAACACATTTTCTCTCACACACACACATAACATTATTTTATATTAATAATGAGATGTATAATTTATAATGTGTTTTTTATTCAAATTATTTTATCAAATTAATTATGTTTCATATTTTGTTATGAATATTTTTATAAAGTTTCGATGGGTTTTATTTTTTGTTCATATCCAACAATATTTATACCTATATTTCTTAGATATTTTTTTTCAAATAATCTTTTTTGTTTTAACGTTTCGCCTTCACTGAAAAAAATTTCTGAATCCGTCCCTACTTCTTCGCCTTTCTCAACGGAATTCCGGGCTCCGGTCCTGGTTGCATCTAGGTTGCCAAATACGGGTTTGTTTTCTTTATCTCCTTCTCCCTAATAACTAAATCAAATATCAATTAGAGCATCTTCCGTGGTTTTGATTTTTTCCTAACTTTTTTTGTGGGTTCCAATAATCTCCACGTCAACTTTCATTATCACAATAATCTCTAAAATTGCATGCCTCTCTCTCTCTCTCTCCTTTTTTTTTTCGAATAGTGAAGATTTTTTTTATTACATTCCCATAAATCCAAGATTTTTCTCATCCAAGATTTTTCTCAATTTTGTGTGAGTCCACTCACTTCAAATCAACTACCATTTAATTTATTAAGGAAACTAATATAAATTTAATTATAATTTGTAATTTAATTAAAATTTATTAAATTCTAAGTATTATATATCATCCAAATTTTACTATAACACGTCATAAAAAAAATTCTTATCAAAAAACTAAATCAAGAATTAGCTATATGTGTGTGGTCGTGTGTTTAAATGAGAACAAGCTAAGGTCCTCTTGTAAAAAATGAGAACTAAAAATAACCCATTGTTAATAATAATAATAATAATAATAATAATAATAATAACAAACAAATAAACAAAGTAGTTTAATTTCCTTTTCCTTTTCCTTGTATAAATCAAAATAGAAATTCGTTGGAGAATCTCAGTCCTGATAATATTGGGAATCAAAAAGATGATCTTTAAAAGCCTGATCTGCGCTGCCTGTGTATCCAAAACGCATTCGATAGCTTTCAGCAAAGAAACATTGTGCAATCACTTTTTGCTTGAATTATATTCATCGACTAAAGATCAGATCAGA